TTCTTGAAACGCTCTTCCCAACTTTTAGAACAAGCAAACTCTTTGTTTTTGATTTTACTCCCCATTTCACTAGCATTTTCTTGCAAAACATTGCCACTTATGAGAACGTTTTCTTGTCTTTTTTGAGTAAACCACTTAATAAGTCCCTTGTCAACCTTTTCATGTGCAGATAATTTTAACTTCCTACATCTAACATTTGTTTTGTCGTACGCTGATAAAATATTTTCTCTGTTTTTCCATATTGTTGCAACAGTAAACTTTCCAAGTGTAATTACTTACAAATGTCACTCTGCTTTACTTTTTATTTTGTTAATAATAAGCTTTGCGTTTTTGTTTTTCCATTCTAAAACGATTTACATACATAACTCGGCAAAAAACAAGTCACTGCCTGTCTCTCGCTCTCACTAATATAAACAACTCCTCACGATTGGTGTTGCAGAGCGTGGAAGTTCGTTATAAACGGAAAGTGAATATACAACTAACCTAAAACGTGATCGTTATATCCGGAAGTTCGTTATAAACGGGTTCGTTATAACCAGTAAAAAAATACGTTGGTCCGTATGGGCGACGTTTCAATTAAAGGAAAAAGTTCGTTTTAACCGAAAGTTCATTATAACCGTTTTGATTATATGCGGACTTTACTGTATATCAACTTCTTGGTATATTGGATTGTTATCTACAGTTAATTACGTTGTCCTGAATATAAACTAATGAAATATGAAGGAAAAGTGCGCAAATCTTCCTGGGCACGTTATTAAAGCGAACATATTTTTTTCATTCCAATTACGCACAAATATGTTTTATCGGTCCCGGTAGGACAAAAAAAATCGCCTTGTATTATGCCAAGTGCAATTAAGAAACACCCTGTATAACATAACAGTCTGAGAACGATTAGATAGAAGAGTATTTTATGGGTGCAAAGTGATATACATATGTAGGTATAGAAGACCAAAAAAACATATATTGAGACAGTTCGAGTTTTATTAAAATTGAGCCAGATTTATCAATTTGTAAATTAGCGAAATTTTATCATCACATCACACACGAAATCACGCGTTGAGAATGCGAATGAAATTTCGGGAATTTTTCATTAAAAACCAATCGACCAATCGGTACTTGAAATTCGTTGAAGCAGAACCCTGTAATTCAAAATTATCTTCAAAGCAAGGGCGTCCCATTTAAACAGGCGTAAAACAAACTTTAATAATTAAGAAAAGCATTTGTTTGCGTTATAAAGCATTAGGAAGTTGTACGAACTAAGTTATATCACCCTGGAGATTGCCGTTTTCCAGGGAGCGCATCTTGAATAAAGGCATATTAATTTTCATTTTATTATGTCACCCATGCTCACCAGGGACATTCATTGTTCTGTATGTTTCCCTTTCAGGGAAATGTTTGAAAAATAATTTAAAAAAAAGAAAAAAAAAACGTGAAGAACAAAAAATCTTGTTAGCAGAGCGTGGTTTCGATCCACGGACCTCTGGGTTATGGGCCCAGCACGCTTCCACTGCGCCACTCTGCTATGTCTGTAACGACTTCCACCACAGTTCATTAACGAAATCCAATAATATGCGTCAATCTACACTTAATCCTTTAAACTCAATTTGTTACACATTAATTTAAAAACTCTTCAGCATTAACATTACAATCCCCATGGTTCTCAAAATTCACTAAAACGCCAAGTTATCCCTGCACATCCCTTATATCGCTCTCTTTCGTATTAATATGCTAAACAGAGAACCACAATGCAATTACCTGAGTATTCTCTAGTCCGGTTCTGTTTAAATAGAAGTTGGGTTAAGTTGAGCGAATCGCTTTCAGTCGGCGTCCTTTCTGTCAAGGCAAAACTCAGGTAAATAATTCCTTTCAACCCATTTTTAAAGCCTTTGTGCCCTTCCACTTATCGGTTTCATGCCTCTGGTCGATGCTTACTTATTGTAGTCGGCATCTTTCACGGCAATTCGGTTTAATTTGACTTCTTTAGTTGAACAGTTCACATCGGCAAGTAAATCTTGTGGTACCCAAGCTAACCTTAAAAGTGCTTGGCGGTAAACGTGCGGTGCTTACATTGAACATTTTTGCAAATTTACGATGAGTTCGCGTGTTTATGTGGGTGGAATCCCTTACGAAACCCGTGAAAGAGATCTGGAGACATTTTTCCGGGGATTCGGAAGAATTCGTGATGTCCTCATTAAAAATGGGTGAGTACAAATTGTTAATTTACCATGTGCGTCATTTGTGGATCCGAGTTATTTGTTTTGTAAACCGGCTATTTTTAGATGTTTTTTTTGTTGATTATAGTTCAGTTTAGAGATTGGTTTGTAACTAATGAACAGTTTTGAGACGATAGCAATGTTTACAGAATATACAGCCTGAGGCAATTAACCTCAAACAGGCACAACCGTTGGGCTTGTTGGTAATGAAAGTCCTAAAAATCTGTTAATTTTTTGATGGAATTCTACTGGGTTAGTGAGACTGTCTGATATTGGTTATTCTTATTCAACACTGAGCTTAATTAGTAGCTGATAGGCTTAGTCAATCATTCACTATCATTCCATGATAGCTTGAAATATCATTAAATTCCCACCTGCTCTTTACTTGATTAGATTTTAAGCTGAGCAAAACTTGTAATTATTGTGTCTTGGTGTGATAATCAGGAACAACCAAGCTAAATTGTTCTTATTTTTAACAACTTAAATGTCCTGCTGAGTTTAAAGGTTTTTTTTTGTGGAAGAATAGTGAATGCATCACTGCCTCGCAATACTAACAGATGGTCAATTTCTTGGAGTTTTCAAGTCATGAAACTACCACTGTATTTGGCAAAATAAACTAAATAAGGAAATATTATGATATATTTCCAGCCATTTTTTAATGTGGGCATTGTATTTGAATTGCAAATATTTCTTTCTTATTGGAAAAACAGTTACATTTTTGATCGCATTTATCTGCTATTATGCCATTTTCGATTCCCTTCAAAAATTTTCTGGATAATTTTGCGTATATCTTGAACGATGAAGAGCTGCAAAAATGTAGAATAGACTATTTACATATCGGCAATACTTTGCATTTGGGCTTATTTGAATATTTCCTACAAACTTTTAAACTTGATTTTTACCGGTTTCCTAGATACCTATGAAGTAATAGCAATTTAAAAGTGTTAATATTTTTTAATTTAGCCATTTGGCTGAACACGTATTTAATTATAGAGCATCACAAAAGGCAAATGTTGCCAAGTTCCAAAGGACATTAGATGTTACTAAACAAAGATCGCTATATTTCTTGTACAATAAAACCTTCAAGCTACTATTTAGATAAAGCGTTTGCCATAAACGCGTAAATTTTGTTTTAAATAATAGGTAATTTTTCTGTAACTATATTCTATATGGTGTGGCCTCGAATTTCCTTGTCAATTTTGAATGTTTTTGATTTAACAGCTTGTTGTTTCTTTTAATTATGAACGAAATTGTTCTTTTCATTCATATAAACAAAAAATCACATGGTGTTAAGTCTGCAGATTTGGGCGGCAATTCAATAAGGCGCATCCGCCCAATTCTACCGTTACCGGAATCTTCTGTCATTCTCTCTAGGTCTTATGCGGTCAAGAAAATAAAAAAAAGTTGTTCGAGAAATCGAGAAAAAAGCAATAACTGGAGTAAAATTTCATTTCCCCCTTCTCCCTGTGACGATTATTATGCACTTCGATCAAACCGTTCATCTTTTATTCTTCTCATTTGTTACATCAGCAATTTTTCACATATTGTCTATTATACTGATTGTATTCTTTAACACCTTTAAGCAGGTACGGTTTTGTGGAGTTCGACGATTATCGCGATGCAGAAGATGCCGTGTATGAGCTTCATGGCAAGAAGCTTTTGGGAATGCGAGTCAGCGTTGAAATGGCACGTGGAAGACCTCGCGGGCGCGATCAGGAATGGTTCTCTAGTCGAGATCATCGCCCCAGACAAGGACCGCCAGTCCGCACCAACTACAGGATTTTCGTTGAAAATCTATCTTCCGGAGTATCTTGGCAGGATCTGAAAGACTATCTCCGACCAGCGGGAGAAGTGACCTTTGCAGATGCCCATAAGAAATATAAAAATGAGGGTATCGTGGAATTTGCTAGCTACGATGATATGAAAAATGCAATTCGAAAGTTTGATGATACCGTGCTTAATGGGCGCCGCATTAGGCTGGTTGAGGACAAGAGCACTAGACGCTCGCGTTCCCGGAGTCGCTCACGGAGCCGAAGTTCAAGCGCTGAAAGCAGAAAGCGCGACCGTTCTAGGTAAATACTTTACATATTATTTAGCCTCCATTTACCTCCTCCACAAGGGAACGATTTTTAAACAAACTTGCAATTTCAGATCCAAGTCTTCTCGATCACCATCCAAAAAAGAGAAAAAAGCTTCATCTCGCTCGCGATCTCGAGATCGTTCCAGGTCTCGCAGGTCTGCGTCGCGCCATGAATCCAAAGATAGAAGCAAGAGTCGCTCGTTGTCCAAGAGGAAATCGGTTAAACGGACAAAGTCACGAAGCATCAGCGCATCTCCTGAAAAGCGATTTAAGGTAAGCGACAATTGCAAACATTCTTTTCTACCAATTTTCTAAAATATATCATGTAATAAATGCGTTTTCGGTATCTGTAAATGTTGCAAATTTTTTTCGGTCGCTTTTCTTAGGATAGTTTTGTTAGCTACTTGCTCACTCTATCATGTTGAAACTAATTTCACATTCTAAACGCGTTGAAATTTGGCTTCTTCAGTAATAATTAATTCAACACTGAAAGGATCGCCTTTCCACCATGCAAGTTTTTCGGGAGTTTGATACTATGATCGGCCGAAAAAACAATTAAATTGATATTGTGGACTGTATATTAATTTAATTACAGTGTTTAATGTATTTTACAATTTTTTTCAGGGCAAGTCTGTATCACGCTCAAGATCTCGTTCAAAGCATGAATCCAGATCAAAATCCCGCTCTCGATCCAAGAGCCCACTAGACAAGAAGGCATCACGAAGTCGCAGCCGGTCCCGTTCTTAATGACCCTGCGTTCCAAGCAAAGTAGTTTGTATCTTCGATATAATCATTTTCTACCGTCGTTTTTCAGTTTTTTTGTTGTTACGTTTTTTTTGTGAGAACTATCGCCAATTGCAATATACTTGGTTAGTGCCACAATGTTCCAGTTTACAATGAGTTCGCTGTTTCACTTCGTTCTTCACTCAGTTTCTATTTAACTAGTTTTTTTTTAAATAACATTTAAAGTTGTTTTTTTTCTCAATTTTATTTTCGATATTGATGGGTAAATGCGTACAATGGTTAAATACTTTACTCGCATTACAAAACTGCTTGTTGATACAAAGGTTGATTATTTAACTTGTGTATAATGAATTCCTTAGTATATAGTATGGCTTCATATTTGTATTACTAGTTACTATGATAATATTTTTTTGATGATAGTCAAGGGGCAACCACCTCATGAGTAAAGCAACCATGTAAGCAAATGGGAGCCCCTCAGTCTTAGCTCCTGGGCTGATTAATGGAAACCACCCATTATAGTTCCAAGCAAATGTAAGTTTAGTTTTTTAGGGATGTTAACGTAATAAAGGCTTCATAGATCTTATATGTTTGGGTGTTTTATTCTGTTTATTTGCAGTATATGTTTAATAATCTTGATGTTTCTCTTTTATAGGCGACAGGCCAATGTGATTTAAAGCCAGTCGTGTCAAAATAGCCAAACAACCCGCACACAGCCGTACAGTTTTACCAATAAAGATTCTCGTTCAAAATAGCCATACAGCCTTACGCAATCATGACAGATAAGCATTACAGCCCGTTCGCAAACCCACAACAATACAGCCTCTCATCGTGTAACCGTACAGCCAGTGCAGTGACAAAAACCGTTGAAAAGTTGCAATTCAGCGTCGCACTGACAGTACAGCCACACATTCTGCCATGTCTGTATGAGTAAGGTTTTTATTGGGGGGAAGGGAACTTAGTATTTTTTATTTCACATAATAGTTCAGTTCTGTTCATTTTCTATAATTTTATACTCATTTTATTACTACGAATCGAAAAGTTTACAATTTTATTGTAGATAGAGTATATGTTCAAATATTTGAGATTTTAAGATTTAATTCAGTATCATCAGTAATAATTTTAAATTTTACTTCATATAGCCCGATAATTTTACAAGGAGTACTAAATCAATCAACAAATGGAGTCGCTGTTGAATTTAGAGAAAAATGAGGGACATTTCTGCGAATGTTCAACACCTTGGAAAAAGTACTTCAGCTAATTTTTCCATATTTTCTTCATACATTTGCCACAAATCTATTGGCAAATCTAATTTCCGATGTGTGGGTTTTTTTATTTCACACAAATTTATTTCTGTTGATGTTTTTTTCAGCACTTTAAAGTGGTTTATTTATCATTTTCCATCACGTCTTAGATCGTGATTTGATCGCAACTATCTTATATGTTGTTGCTCCAAGCTCAAAAAGCTGCATTATTTCGGTAATATAGTTCTGCTCCTGATAAAGTTCTGGTCAGTGTTTGGTGTTATTTGTCTAGAAAAAGGGTTTGTTACTGCTCTTCTGTGTTGATACCCGCAGTATATTTGACTACAAACAGGCACACATTCTTCGTGTCTCAACTAATGTTTTCCTTGCCTTTGCCGACTGATTATTAGATTGGTGCCGTATACAATCCGCATTAAATGCGACATTGGGAAGGGAATATTCCTCCTCACTGATGTTGAATTTGGTTTCCGTCAATGATATTTTTTTGCTTTGGTTCTTTGTATGTTTCTCAAGTCTCGCAGTTCATCCGAATCCAAATAAATTTGCTGATGAATATTCAAATGTAGATAAATCTAGAGTATTATTTTTTACTAGGTACTTTCGTGCTCCAGGTATGCTTGCGTGTATATTACAACATTTGTGTGTCTTCAGAATTTAATTAATATTTAGATTCCAGATGTCCTAGGACAGGAAGGTGCTGCAAGAGTACTTTGTGGTTCACAATGTTTATTGGTCCACGTTCCACATCAGGTTTTTAAAAGAGATTGAACAAGTTATGGTAATTTTTTAATTATGTTCTTGTCACGATTTGCATGACTTCTCTATTTTCAAGTCACTTTCTGTTTTATTGCTTCCACTGGCTTATTATTGAGCATGCGAACGAATTCTCTTTGCCAAATTTACTTCGCAGTTATTATTGTTTTGCGTTTTAAACTATTTTAACATTACGTCTATTTTTATAGTTTTTTGTATTCTGCTATAGTGGGACTTGTTTGTACTTTTTAATACTGTATCGTATTACTTTGGAAGAGTTTTAAAATATATTTTGAAACAAATATGTGATGAAATTTACTTATCAGGACTTATTTTGATATCGAAATTCCAAAACTTCTGATGCATTTCCATCCAGGAAAGATAGAGAGCAAGTGACGCTCTGGATATCGACGTACTTTTTCCAATTTTCACTAAAAATGTAAATAAATGATTTTTTTACCTCTATTGGGAGTTTTTTTGGCTTCGACATTTTCCTAGAAGATAATTTTTATCCTGATTTTATAATCATTGTCCTTTCCTAAGATTTTTTGCCCGAATTTTATCAAGAAACGGCCATCTAACGTAACGAGGGAAATAACAGCTAACGGCAAAAACCCGTTTAGTCGGTAAAGGCGTCCATTCGGCACCATTCATTCATGTATAAACACGTCGTTAATGCGACCGAGATACGGCGCCGGCCGACGGCCGAAAACGACGTCTCCATCCCGGAGGAATCCGTGTCGCAACCGGACTTGTATCTCATAATTAACGGGTTTCCCTCGGTAGGACTCAGCAGTTTTTGCAAAGAAAACATGTTCAAACTTTGACGTTATTTTAAATTAGCAAACAAGTTTTTTTCAATATTGAAAAATTTTCAACATGTTTAGGTACACATGTAGGTAGAGTGAGATTGAGCCCACTTTGTATTTCTGACTAAGCTAAATAAAATTGCCTGAATAAAAAAAACTGGAATTTAATGTTTCTGGCTGCATTTTGATGATTTGATTATGTACTGTCCAATCGATTTAAGTTGGACTATGTTGCTTACAAACAAAACTAAAGCAAAAAACCAAACTTTTGAGTATGCGATGCGAAAACTGAATATTATTACCATGGACATCCCTTGACGAAAAGACGTCGCTGCTAACGAAAACATACAGCTTCATTTCGGACTCGGACTTTTTAATTTCGCCAGGGAGATTTTCCATTTTTACCGGATGGGATAAGTTAATTAAACAACCTACGGAGGGGATACGTCGGATTCGGGGACCAGGAATACTTGGTCGACAAAATTTACTTAAAAAACGGAAACTCATTTATTTTCGCTTGGAAAACATTTTTTTTATAGTGTATAATGGTTATGTTTTGAATCTCTCAAATTCGTTCAGTTTTGATTATTTCACTGCTCATTTTTAACTTTTAAATAATCAGCCGTTGTATCATTAATTGGCGTTTTCTGCACTATTTTTCCGAGTTAATTAGCACTTTTAATCTCCAAATTTAGCTTTGAGACTGGGAATTGAGTTATGTTTCCTTGAAAACCGTGTTTTTAGATTCTCTTGTTCATTAAGCAGTTTTTTTGTACATTTTTGAACTAACGACACTGGAGATTTTTTGCAAGTTGGGGTTTTCTTACCCATAAATTTGATAAAAATCTGCACGTCAGATAATGTAGCTCTAAGGGCCGATTACACGTAAGGGCGTAAGGGATCCCTTATTAGGCTCATCTTTCAATTAGGTAAAATGATTGAGAACTCCCGAGTCTAGTTACTGCTCTCGATATGTTTTATCGTCATTCGTAGTTGATCGATGAGTACAGAGACTTTCAATGACGCAATCCGAGTTTCACTTCATTGGTCTATTAATAATTTAAAGGAGGCACAAAAAATTCTCATGAATTTAACGAAACTCTGCCGTCGATAAGTCCTATCAAGTACATGGGCAAGAACTCGAAATCCCCTTTTAAAAGATGAGTAGAGCAAACGAAAAACGACATATACATTGGACTTTATTACACTTTACTCTGACAGCCAGAAGTAAAACTACTGAATTGTTAACAGTAGAAACTGGTGTCGACCGGGGGCTGCCCCATGGGGATCAACCCCTGCAAGGTCCCGATATCGCCCGAAATAACTGAAATAAGATCCCACATCTAACTTTAGATGGGGTTATTTATTTCCCGAAACTTTCATGTCATTTTGTGGACAAATCATTTTTATTTCCACGATCTTTCCCAGTTTTTTCTATCGATTCTCAATCAAGAAACTTTTCGAATTCTCTTCGTCTTCGAATGATTAATTTCAATTGTAATTTCCTTGGAAATTGTTCTTTTATATTTCAGTATTTTACCTTAGTTACTCTGTTGCCTCAAAATGAACTTATTCTACGTAACAAATTTACCTTTTGTCTTGTTCCCCATTGTCTAATTTTTAGCTACTTTCCCTCAACTTTACTGTTGGAACTTCTTGTTTTTTATTTCAAATTTACCCTTTTCATTAGATTTCCTTAAAATTTTTCCTTTCGACCCTTAATATTTCAGTTTTATCTAGCTGTGTTTTATAAATTAGGGTTTGTGTTCAGAGATTACAGATCAACATCAAACAAACCCAGCAGAAAACATATTGTCTTCTTAATTTTCCTTCCACTTTGATATTTTTAATAAATAAAATTGCTCCTAAATTCATTTTTATGTTGAATGATTTAACTTTTGTTTTCATATATCGCATGAAATCAACACGGAGTTTAAAGCAATCAATTCGTTCTCTTCAACCCAAAGTTTTTCTTATTTTAAATGAATTCATACAGATGATTTTCTAACGTCCTTTAATTCCATTGGAATTTTCTTAAATTAGCAAACTTTCCTCCATAACCGACTAACTTGTTTTCATAAGTATTTTTTTATCTCGAACTTTTACCGCCTCCATATAAAAGGCCCCTTGTAAAAAGTACCTAAGTGAAAAAAGAAACAATAAACAGGGTTTCTTATGTTCTGCCGGATTGCCTTATTAATTAATGCATTCAAAGGGCCCTTAAGGGATCGATGAAGTCACAGGGTGTTTTAAAATTAATGCGCTTATTTGTCACTCCCCGGGAGCTCGCGTTTATTGCGTTTTATTTTCTCTATACCAGTGGCGGACATAGAAAAACTCATATCTAATGCCGAAATTTTCACCATTTTAAAGATTGATTTATAATGGATTGTTGAGTGATTGAAGCTCCACAAATCGAATAAAATTTAAACATTTTCGATTTTTAAGGAAAGGATCGTGATGATTGTTTAATGTGATTAAATTCCCAATTTTAAGTCCGAAAAATCCAAATAAGGGACTTTTTTTCCACAAACATAACTTTACTTCGTTAATCGGGAACTAATGTGAACGTATGTACATTTTCGGTTTTTGTGAAGTCGATTGCTCACTAAATAACAAACACAGGAAGAACAAAAAAATTCTATGTTCAGAACGCAATATAAATTGGCATAAATGATCCCCGCCACTGTAAGAATAATGTAATGGGGGGGGGCCGAATGAAGTGTTTGTTCACTTATTCTCCTACGTATGGTTTAATTGTAAGGCGTTTTATGGATCTAATTAGATTGGGGATCCCGAGCCACTTTAAACTACAAGAATTAATGATACTTATTTGCATATTAATGCACCTCTTTTCATACGTTGTGAGTTCAAAATAGTCCATTTGCCTACTGCAAAGCTATATTTCTAGACATAGAACTGTACTGTACAAGAAAAACAAAACGTATTTTTCGAAAAAGTGCACCTTCAATAGATTTTAAAACGACGATTAAAATGAAACTAATATAAAAAGTGCAGGGTGCAAAAATTCAGGATTGGTTTTTTCATGATGATTGTATCGAAATTGACTAAATACTGTATTCTTTAAATAAAAATTCAATATAAAGACGAACCCCACGAATGCAAGCAAGCGAACGTGCGAAAAGCACATTGTTATCGTTGCGGCTTTTGAGGTAAACAAAATTTTTGCACCGATAAATTCCTCGGGGATTTCGAAAATTGATTTTTGTAACCTCAAAGGCCTTCCAAAGTTTTCCTTCGCCTTTGACACCCCGAAATTTACATAAATAAAATTCCTTTTGCGACACATCGCTCTGTGAAAGCCGCGCCATTTTCACATCGCACTTTGTTTTTCTGGTTTTAGGGGCGCGACAATTTAATTTGCAAACGTGTATAGTTTTGTTTGTCTGTCTTTTAGTATTTTTGTTTTTTATTTCCTAATCCAATCCTAAGCGAATTAATGGCGGATTTAGCTTTTAAGTGCCAGTCCATTTAAGCGCTCTTCTGTCGTCGAAAAATAAAGCGACTGATTCTACCGCTCTTAATGAGGCGTGCATGTTGAATGTGGATCTTCTCTTTAGATCACTTTTGCACGACGATCAAGTTTCGTATTCCGTCGGAGCATTGAATCTGGATCTAATCATGGCGCGACAAAAGATATCCAGCTTAAAGGACTCAAAGTTTCATAAAAATTGAACAAAAATCCGACATAATTTAATTTAGCATGAAAAATATATTCCTCTTCATGATTGGAGTTCTTTATATTTGGCTGGGAAACCTGTTTTGTTGACGGCGACCATCCAAACAGTCCAAACTAGTTGGAACCAAAAACTTGCGTTTGGAAATATTCGCATGCGAACAGGCACTTTCTACAAAACTGCAAATGACTCGTCCAAAGCGACGCCCAAGCAAACCAAACAATTGTATCAAATCGTTAATTCTGCAGTTCGCTGCCTTCACAAAGTGGTAAAAGCCTCAATATCGCTTCAGTTTTTTTTGGAACAAGTGACTAAATAGTTTGGTACGGGTATTAAACAAAATACGTCATCAGTCCTTTGTTCATAAACGGCATATACAGGATGATTTGGTGCGAATAAGGCAAGTGCGCGCTATATTCACCGTTATCTGCTAACTGAAAGATTAAAGTTTACAATTCGGAGTGGATCTTTACTGTTTGGTCAAGTATAGTGTGGGTGTTTTGAGGATTAAGGGGTACAAAATGGAGTATGGGGCGCCAGCTTGCAGAAATCTGGTAAGAGTCAATTATAATCTACAAATCCTTTAGTATGAACTAAATTTAGTTTTTAGAGAAGCAGATGAAGCTGATGGCATTTTTATTTCCCTTTATTTCCTCTGTACATTTTAAATAATTAAACCTTTGTAATTCTAAAGAATGTTTTTCTTTTTTCCAGCTCAATGCAGCTTTCGGTAAGTTTACTTTCTCCTGGTTGTCATGTAGATGTAGAGCTTTAAGTCCCATATTATTGACTTGAACAAGAACAATTACAATTTTTTTAAAAACCATTGAGTTGCTCCTAAAAATACATTTTGGTTTATCTCCTATAAATCTTGGTGCGCCGTCAAACTTGTAGCAAAAGAGCGTGTTTCCAGGAACAATCAGCGTTTCAGGTATTTGAAAATTTAAACGGTTGCTAA